TATTTATCTTTGTCTAATTTTTTTACATCACAGAAACCTGACGCTTTAACAAGGGTGTGTAGACTTTTTATAACCATTGTATACAATATATGCACATATATATATATATATATATATATATATATATATATATATATATATATAGTACAACACTGCTGTTTTTGATATTTCTCCTCTGCAAGACCCGTGAGTGCCTCTAAACCAGTTTTGGATTTATATATATACAGTATATACAGAGTGTTAAAACGAATAAACATTACAAACCCTAAAACAAAACTAACCCGAAACCATTATAGTTTCCTTTTACATTTCTCTGGAACCAGGTCAGAAAGATCTCTGCTCTTGAGTTTCCAGCAACACCCACCTTTGTGAGTTTTATTTTGCATTATGAAATTTGAGGTTGGCAGATCAAGGCTTTTCAGGTATGGTTCCATGATGGTTTTAAATAGATCCTGCTTCTCCGCCTATAAATGTTTTAAAAAAAAGGATAGAGAATGTTCACCAATCAAAGTGAATGATAGTGAAAAAAATTAAGCTCTTGGGTGTTCAAAGTGAACGTCACTTAATCTCATACACTAACATTCACTTTGCAAATGAGCATTCAATTTGTTAATAAACAGCCTCTATTTCTTTGGTACATCAACCCCATAGCCTACCAATACTCATTCAAAGCCAAAATATCAGTTTTGATTGACTGACCGTAAAAACCCAACTGAACTTACTAGTAAAATCAGCTAAATAGAATTGAAGGTACATTGAAACATGAGATGTGCAAAGTTTATATTTCTTAAAAAGCAGCCTCAGCCTAAGTACAGAAGCCTGTTCCCTGCCAGCAGGCTGTAATGAAGGACACTGGCTCTCTGTGTGGAAGCAGTGGTCTCTCTGTAGAGAAGGACCCTGGCTCTGTGTGTGGAATCAGTGGTCTCTCTGTAGAGAAGGACCCTGGCTCTCTGTGTGGAAGCAGTGGTCTCTCTGTAGAGAAGGACCCTGGCTCTCTGTGTGGAAGCAATGGTCTCTCTGTAGAGAAGGACCCTGGCTCTCTGTGTGGAAGAAGTGGTCTCTATGTAGAGAAGGACCATGGCTCTCTGTGTGGAAGCAGTGGTCTCTCTGTAGAGAAGGACCCTGGCTCTGTGTGTGGAAGCAGTGGTCTCTGTGTAGAGAAGGACCCTGGCTCTGTGTGTGGAAGCAGTGGTCTCTCTGTAGAGAAGGACCCTGGCTCTCTGTGTGGAAGCAATGGTCTCTCTGTAGAGAAGGACCCTGGCTCTCTGTGTGGAAGAAGTGGTCTCTCTGTAGAGAAGGACCATGGCTCTCTATGTGGAAGCAGTGGTCTCTGTGTAGAGTAGGACCCTGGATCTCTGTGTGGAAGCAGTGGTCTCTCTGTAGAGAAGGACCCTGGCTTTCCAGTGCAAGCAGTGGTCTCTCTGTAGAGAAGGACCCTGGCTTTCTGTGTGGAGGCAGTGGTCTCTCTGTAGAGAAGGACCCTGGCTCTCCGTGTGGAAGCAGTGGTCTCTCTGTAGAGAAGGACCCTGGCTTTCTGTGTGAAAGCAGTGGTCTCTCTGTAGAGAGAAGGACCTTGGCTCTCTGTGTGGAAGCAGTGGTCTCTCTGTAGAGAAGGACCTTGGCTCTCTGTGTTGAAGCAGTGGTCTCTCTGTAGAGAAGGACCCTGGCTTTCTGTGTGGAGGCAGTGGTCTCTCTGTAGTGGTCTAAGAGCCCCACTGCTGAGCCAGACCTTTAGCTCTGCAATCGGCAAAGCATATGCACCCTGTTGATTGGAGGGCTCTAGCTCTAAACCAGCAGTGGGGGTGTTGGACCTCTAAAGGGAGACTACTGCTTCCACATAGGAGCAAGGGTCCCCTCTACAGCATGCTGACAGGGAACAGACTTTTCTTTCAGGCTGTGGCTGATTTCTAAAGAAAACCAACTTTAAGGCTTTGCACACCTTTGTTCTGATGGAACGGGAATGTGTTTGCAAGCATTAAGTTATATTGTGCTTTAACAGTAACAATACTCACTGGGTAATATTACAGAAGCATATTTCTAAAACTTGTGTAGGCTGAAAATCTGATATTTTCTGAATTTTACTTAACTTAGCTGAATGTACTAATGTGACGGAGGGTAGGCAGGACAGAACACCCAGAGCAGATGGCAAACGCACAAAGCTTTATAGAGACAAAAAATGACAGTCACTCAATGGGGGGATTTCAGGGAGGGTGACCTTGCCAATAGAGGGACAGCAAGGAGGGGCTAAAACACTTGTAGTCCAGTACCAAGGGCAAAGGAAAAGTCTCTGTAGCAGATTGCAATCCAACAGGGGGGGTAGGGGGTCATCACAGGAACAGTTCAGGTAAAACAGGGAAAAAAAAAAGGCCCACGGATCCGACAGGGTACCTGGTCTCCCAGGGATACGAAAGTAGGACACAGGTACCTGTTGGGGTCCGGAATAGGCGAGTGGTCTCTCCCTTTAGGCTGGGGGTCTCAGGCAGCTGGGGGGCAATCTCCCCCTCGGCTGGGGTCTCAGGCAGCTGGCAGGCAATCTCCCCCTACACTGGGGTCTCAGGCAGCTTGCAGTGCAGCAATCTCCCTTTGAACTGGGGTCTCAGGCAGCTGGCAGGCAATCTCCCCCTGAACTGGGGTCTCAGGCAGCTGGCAGGCAATCTCCCTCTGAACTGGGGTCTCAGGCAGCTGGCAGGCAATCTCCCTCTCGGCTGGGGTCTCAGGCAGCTGGCAGGCAATCTCCCCCTCGGCTGGGGTCTCAGGCAGCTGGCAGGCAATCTCCCCCTAGACTGGGGTCTCAGGCAGCTGGCAGGCAATCTCCCCCTAGACTGGGGTCTCAGGCAGCTGGCAGGCAATCTCACCCTAGACTGGGGTCTCAGGTAGCTGGCAGGCAATCTCCCCCTCAGCTGGGGTCTCAGGCAGCTGGCAGGCAATCTCCCCCTAGACTGGGGGTCTTGGCAGAGTCTAGCCATGCGGGTCCCACCGCAGCTGGGCTCCCTCGATGGCTGCGCAGCGGAGAAGACTGACTGGGGAGCCCGGCATGAGCCTTCTTAAGCTGGTGTAGGATGCTTCCCGGTCGCCCTGGCAACCAGGGGCGGGCCATAGGCGGCATGCCTATTTGCTCGGCAATGAGGCTCGGCTTCAAAGAGCCGAGGCTGGACGAGAGACAGCAGGGGGCCAGTCATCCTGAAAGGGGGGAAGTGGCTAATGAAGTTTGGGCTAGAATACACAAACGACAGAGGAAATTGTCTAAGAAAGTTTGGGTTGGAATGCATTATTGCAGGGGAGGAAAGGCATTAATTGAATTTGGGAACATAAAGCAGGATGACAGTGGAGGAAATACATTGATTGAATTTGGGAACATTTGGCAAGATGACAGGGGGGAATGCATTGATTGAAGTTGGGAACATTTGGCACAAGAACGTAAGGAATTAATTAAGGATGTACTTCATTTGGGCACAAGGGATTAAGTATGGGATTAAGGAAGAAATTAATAATTGGGGCTGGCAGAGCACATATATTGTGACAGCTAATGTCTAAAAACTGTATTACCCTAGGTCGGGTGTCGGCAACCCGCGGCTCCAGAGCCGCATGCGGCTCTTTTTCATCTTTGCTGCGGCTCCGGAGCACACTGCCCACCAGGTGACAGGCAATAGGGTTTCAGTGGTCGGCAAGCCGCGGATCGCAAGCCACATGTGGCTCTTCTGTGTGCCGGGCGCGCCCGCTCCCCTCCCTCCTCTCGGGCGGCCGCCTCAAAAGTCAGGACTCTTTTAATCCGGCCCGCGGAGCGTGGAACATTAGCTGTCAGGATGTAGGCGGGGCAGCCAGGATGTAGGCGGGGCAGCGTGACGAACTCCTCTCACAGTCCGCCCTGAAGACCGGAACACAGCGCGGGAACACAGCGAGAGGAACGCGCGGAGCAAAGGTAAGTGAATTGAGACAATATGGGGAATTAATTACTATAGGGGGGATGAATTACTATGGGGGATGAATTACTATATGGGGGATGAATTACTATGGGGGATGAATTATTATATGGAGGATGAATTACTATATGGGGGATGAATTACTATATGGGGGATGAATTACTATGGAGGATGAATTACTATATGGGGGATGAATTACTATATGGAGGATGAATTACTATATGGAGGATGAATTACTATGGGGGATGAATTACTATAGGGGGGATGAATTACTATATGGGGGATGAATTACTATGGGGGATGAAGCTAACTGCACGATCCTGTATATAGCATTAAGGTAAGAAACAATATATGCAGTGTCGGATTTGTTTTAAATGTTGCAATGGTTTTGCGGCTCCCAGTCTTTTTTTTCCCTTCGGAAACGGGTCCAAGTGGCTCTTTATGTCTTAAAAGTTGCAGACCCCTGCCCTAGGTTCACACTTATGTGAATTTCAGTGAGTTTTTTGGAAAGGGTCAGGGGCTTTTTTCCCACAGCAGACTGTGTTTTGCGTATAATAGAATTCAACAGATCCGCACCAAAAATGCATGTGTTGCGTTTTTGACGCAGTATTTTTGACAAATATGACAGTTCTGTTCAAGTATTGGGACTTTGATGCAACCTTGATGCAACTTTACACTCTCTGGGTCTCAAGTAGCATCAAAGTAGTTCAGGAATTTTTATGTGACCATAGTCGCATGTTAGGGTTACTGGCTAGGGTTAAGGTTAAATGTTAGGATTAGAGATAGAGTTAGGGTTGAGGTCAGTGGTAATTGTTAGGGTTGAAATGCTAACCTTAACCACTTGGCTACAGGGCACTTATACCCCCTTCCTGCCCAGGCCAATTTTCAGTTTTCAGTGCTGTCGCACTTTGAATGACAATTGCGCAGTCATGCAACACTGTACCCATATGAAATTCTTATAATTTTTTTTAGACAGATAGAGCTTTCTTTTGGTGGTATTTAATCACCTTTGGGTTTTTTATTTTTTGCTAAACAAACCAAAACAACACTGATGTGCGCTAATGAGGCTGCACTGATGGGCACTGATGAGGAGGCACTGGTAGGTGGCACTGATGATCATTGGCAGGAATCACTGGTGGGCACTGAAAGGCAGCACTCATATATGGCACAGATAGGTGGCACTGACAGGTAGCACTGATAGGCGGCACTGACTGACACTGATAGGCGGCACTGACTGGCACTGTTAGGTGGCACTGACTGGCACTGTTAGACAGCACTGATAGGCGGCACTGACAAGCACTGATAGGCGGCACTGATGAACACTGATAAGTGGCACTGACTAGAACTGATAGGGGGCACTGACTGGCACTGATAGTTGGTACTGATTGGCAGCACTGATAGGCGGCACTGACTGACAATGATAGGTGGCACTGACTGGCACTGATAGGTGGCACTGAAAGGCAGCTCAGATGGGCACTGATATGTGGCATTGCTGTGAACTGGTAGGCACTGATATGTGGCATTGATATGGCACTGATGGGCAATGGCAGGTGGCATTGATGGGCACTGACAGGTGGCATTGATGGACACTGACAGGTGGCACTGATGGGGCTACATTGATCATCATTCCCCGGCTCGTGAGGAGAGAAATGCCATTAACCGGCACAGCTGATCACAAGACAGAGCCGACGTCATGGGCTCTTTCCATTGATTGATGATTCACTGTGTCCCAGGAACACAGCGCACCAGTGATCGCCCCGGGGATGTGCAGGCGCGGTTAGAGTAGGAGGATGTCATGTGACATCCTCCCAGAACGAGAGAACCGCCTTACACCCGTCATTACCTTATATGGTGTATAGGAGGCGGTTAATTACCTCTAACCCCAACCCTATCCTTATCCCTATTACTAACTCTAACCCTAACCCTATCCCTATCCCTAACCCTATCACTATCCCTAACTCTAACCCTAACCCTATCCCTAACTCTAACCCTATCCCTATCCCTAACCCTATCCCTAACTCTAACCCTATCCCTATCCCTAACCCTAACCCTATCCCTATCCCTAACCCTATCCCTATCCCTATCCCTAACTCTAACCCTAACCCTATCCCTATCCCTAACTCTAACCCTATCCCTATCCCTAACCCTATCCCTATCCCTAATACTCTAACCCTATCCCTAACCCTAACCCTATCCCTATCCCTAACCCTAACCCTATCCCTATCCCTAACTCTAACCCTATCCCTATCCCTAACCCTATCCCTATCCCTAACTCTAACCCTATCCCTATCCCTAACCCTAACCCTATCCCTATCCCCCTATCCCTAACCCTAACCCTATCCCTATCCCTAACTCTAACTCTAACCCTAACCCTATCCCTATCCCTAACTCTAACCCTATCCCTATCCCTAACCCTAACCCTATCCCTATCCCTAACCCTATCCCTATCCCTAACTCTAACTCTAACCCTAACCCTATCCCTATCCCTAACCCTAACCCTATCCCTAACCCTAACCCTAACCCTATCCCTATCCCTAACCCTATCCCTATCCCTATCCCTAACTCTAACCCTAACCCTATCCCTATCCCTAACCCTATCCCTAACTCTAACCCTATCCCTATCCCTAACCCTATCCCTATCCCTAACTCTAACCCTATCCCTATCCCTAACCCTAACCCTATCCCTATCCCTATCCCTAACCCTAACCCTATCCCTATCCCTAACTCTAACTCTAACCCTATCCCTATCCCTAACCCTAACCCTATCCCTATCCCTAACTCTAACCCTATCCCTATCCCTAACCCTATCCCTATCCCTAACTCTAACCCTATCCCTATCCCTAACCCTAACCCTATCCCTATCCCTATCCCTAACCCTAACCCTATCCCTATCCCTAACTCTAACTCTAACCCTAACCCTATCCCTATCCCTAACCCTAACCCTATCCCTATCCCTAACCCTATCCCTATCCCTATCCCTAACTCTAACCCTAACCCTATCCCTATCCCTAACCCTAACCCTATCCCTATCCCTAACTCTAACCCTATCCCTATCCCCTAACCCTAACCCTAACCCTACCTCCCTATCCCTAACTCTAACCCTATCCCTATCCCTAACCCTAACCCTAACCCTATCCCTATCCCTAACCCTAACCCTATCCCTATCCCTAACCCTATCCCTATCCCTAACTAACTCTAACCCTATCCCTATCCCTAACCCTAACCCTATCCCTATCCCTAACTCTAACCCTATCCCTATCCCTAACCCTATCCCTATCCCTAACTCTAACTCTAACCCTATCCCTATCCCTAACCCTAACCCTATCCCTATCCCTATCCCTAACCCTAACCCTATCCCTATCCCTAACCCTATCCCTATCCCTAACTCTAACCCTAACCCTATCCCTATCCCTAACCCTAACCCTAACCCTATCCCTAACTATAACTCTAACCCTAACCCAAGCCATTACCTTAACATGTGACTTTGATCACAAAAAGGTTCCTGCACTACTTTGATGCTACTTGAGTGCTAAAGAGTGTTTAGTCACATCAAAGTTGCATCAAATCGCACTGCATGAACAAAACTATCATAGCAAAAAAAATGCAAAACGCAGCAAAAACACGTGTTCAAAAACTGTAACCTGCATAGATGTGAACCTAGCCTTAAGCACGCAATGTTGCCTTTACTGTATTAAAAACACTCACTTCATATATACACGTTGCCTGTAAAGAGATACTTTCAGCATGGACACTGAGCATCTTTCAGCCAGAATAAATGACAAGTTGTATAAACGACATTTCTTTTCTCTAGTAAAAAAATAACAAGAAGTATTATAAGTATAAGAACAGAAAAAAAGTACTTTTTGGTTGTCTTACTGGCATTTGAGCCCTCAGTTAAATTCCTGCCGCTTCAGAATTTTTCATGCTTATTACATACATCAGTTTACGTGAAAAATAGTAAAAAATAAAAATCACTAAGGGAATTTTTCAGCAAAAAGTTATTGAAACGCAATAGGAGAAGTGAGAGGAGTGTTGATACTAATTCGGTTCCATTGAAGCCTCTATGTCAACTCTCTAGGGACACTGAGCCATCCCACTCTGATGTAATGCAGTCAGGTCTTCATGTTGAATGGGAAATATCAATTCACTCATAGTGCAATAAAATGATCACATACTTCACATTATCGGGTACAATGGGGAATTGCCTGATTGTTGGTGCTGTCCGGTTTTAGCCAGCACTTAGTTCATTCCAGAATTTTGTTCACGAAATGCTATCTTTTTGTACTTTTTCATTATTAGATTACCGGTTTACTGTAATTCAGAGTTTTTAGAGGAGCACAAGTAATCCTCTACTCTGCTTTTGTGAATTGACAAGCTTCTAAATGCCCATTCTGCACACAACTAAACTGAGTGTACAATCTTTTCAAAGATTTACTTTTTTATATTTATTTTCACCTGCCGATCCAACCAGTAAGTCTGTTATTTTTCAACTTTCTTTAACAGAACACGCTGGTTAACAAAAGCTGTAATTACTGGGCTGAGTCAAACCATTTACCACTGACAGGGGTGCTTATAATGATCAGCTTGTATTCATTTATGTAAAACCTGCATCGCAAAAAACCTGCGCTTGAAAAGCGTTAGCTGGACTTTGGTTTGAATTTGTTAGTGAATTCCATCTAAATTTGCTAGTGCATCTTACACTACTCTCTCCACAGGGTGACAATGCTGCTGTCCAAGGGTGGCTATGTCACACCTTCATAGGCTGTGGCCACCATTAGACAGGTGTGTTACTGCCAGGTCACCAGATGAAAATAAAGGAAAAAATCCCCCCCCAAAAAAAGGAAACTAGTGCAGGTACCACATCTAAAGACTGGTAATCTGCAATATATTACATTTGGGTTTAGATATGCTTTAAAATGGTTGTAAAGCTAGAAGGTTTTTGACCTAAATGCATTCTATGCAAATAAACCTTCTGTAGTCGGCTCTACCCCCAGCCCCCCCTTACACTTACCTGAGCCTGATCTCGATCCAGTAATGTGCATGAGAGCAATGGCTCTCTCCCTTATCATTGGCTCAAAGACAGCAGCAGGAGCCACTAGCTCCTGCTGCTGTCCATCACAATCAGTAATGAGAAATGGGCTCGGGGCAGCCCACGGTCTGTATGTGAATGGACAGAGAGTGGAGCTCAGGGGAGAGCCTGTGTTAGTGCCCCCATAGCAAGCGTCTTGCTATGGGGTACTTGCCAGGGGGGCAGAAGGGGTCTCAGGAAGAAAAGGATCAGGAATGCTCTGTGCAGTATACCATGTTCATTATTTAAATGAAAAATATCAGTCTCTAAGTAGAAGTATCCATATTGATAAGATCTACCCGTGATCAATGATTTCTGAAGACTTGGTATTCTGTCTTGATATATATGTATATTTGTATTGAGATATACCCATAACGTTGCAGGATATTGTATTTTACCAAGATATTGAGGAACTATTTTCATGATTGTGACAAACTATTGGAAGAGATATATTTTGTTATGAATTACCGTACTCAAATTTTACATACTGTATATCTGGGATGGATTTACTACAAGATTACTTTTTGATTACATTAATTTAATTACATTAATTTTAGTTGGTGTAGAGCAGGGGTCTCAAAACTTTATAAACGAAGGGCCAGTTTACTGTCCATCAGACTTTAGGTGGGCCGGACTGTGGCCAGTGGGAGAAGAAAATGTCCTGGCATCAGTGGGAGTAAACAATTCCTTAACATTGGTATTAACAGGAGATATAGTACCCCATCACTGGTATCAATGGGAGGAATAGTTTCCCATTGTTGGTGTCAGTAGGAGGAATAGTGCTCCATCATTGGTGTCAGTGGGAGGAATAGTGCCCCATCATTGGTGTCAGTAGGAGGAATAGTGCCCCATCATTGGTATCAGTGGGAGAAATAGTGCCGCATCATTGGTGTCAGTGGGAGGAATAGTACTCTATCATTGGTGTCAATGGGAGCTATAGTGCCCTATCACTAGTGTCAGTAGAAGGAATAGTGCCCTATAATTGGTGTCAGTGGGAGGAATAATGCCACATTATTGGTGTCAGTGGAAAGAATAGTACCCCCTTGTGGGCTTCAGAGGCTGGAAATGTGCCCCACTGTTGCTTATAGTGGAGGAAATAATGCCCCAAGGGCTGAATAAAAGCAACCAACAAGGGCCACATCAGGCCCCTGGGCCGCAGTTTGGAGACCACTGGTGTAGAGTAATACCCAAGGTTTTCTATGATTTGAGCTTGAAAGACCAGTGTATACAGCATAAGGTCCCTTTCATTTGGGACAGATACTGTACCAATCAGCAGACGATCAGCTCACAGATCCCCTGCTGATCAGAGCAGAGTGGGTGACACTTCTGTGTCCGATCTGTTCTATGAGCAGGCAGGAGTAAAAAGACTCCGCTGTCCGTTTACACCTGACTACCCTCCAATCCGCCTAAACAAAAGAGGATGGATCCTCTTCTGTTTTTTTTTTTTAATAATGGAATGGATCAGCGGGTGTAACCAAACACAAGTCCATTTACACCCACCTGTCCATAGGAATGCATAGACCTTCTGATCAGGTCTGCCTGAAACACAGACATCAAT